CTCAGGGTGGGGTACCTTTTCTAACATGCTGTACCTCTGGAAGGAAAAGGAAGGGACAAGCAGGATTAGAAGATCCAAGAAGCCCAGACAAACTCAAAGCTGCAAAGTCAAGGGCTAAGGCTAGAAATAAGGTGGAAAGGAAAGCGAATGATCCTTCATCAAGCTACCCCACCCCCATACACGCGGTCTCTGAGACCTCACCACCCCAAGAGCCACTCCTCCTAATGTTCCTCCCGCTGGATCCGGATCGCAACCAGTCTCCGTAGCCTGGAGCTGGAAGAAGTCGAGACAGGGACCTGGAATTCAGGTTCGGGAAGGTAGTACTCTACCAGAGGAGTAAAGGGCAGACATGGAGACAAAAGTGCACAACCAGAAGACAGACTGGAGGAACATCTGAAGGCAGGGGCCAGGACAGTAGTGTGGCGGGTGGGGGGCAGCTCAAGGGAATCCAGACGCGGGAGCCAGGAAACCCAGACGCCCCAAAGCGCAGGAGCTGAGGTCCTGAGGATTGGGCTGAGAGGGGCTAGGGCTGGTTCTCACCGAGTGGGCTACGCCCCACAGGAACACGCCCACCAGCGGGTCGGCTGCCCGGAACACCTTCACCTTCTGTTGCACGAAATGCTTCTTCTTGGTTTTGGAGGCGAAGCCGAAACCCGGGCCGGGGCCCGCTGTTGCCGCGGGTGCGGTGGCTGGCGGGACCGAGGACGCCATAGTCTCCCGCGCACCCGACTGAGTGGAAGCCGGAGCCGGTCGCAATCCAAGCGCCCGACCCCGGAAGCGGTGCTCACCTGCGCCGCCGTCACGTGACCGGAGGCTGGACCGCAGGCGAGTGAACGGGGCGGGGCAAGGCTGGCTCCGCCCCTGACGCCCGCCCGCCCAGACTCCTGCGCTGTGGGTGGGCTCACCTGGAGCTGGGCAGGCTTGCGCGAGGCCGGTTGCCGGAGCGTGGCCACCTGGGAGGCCCCAACCGGTTATCCAGGCGGATGGGGTACGCCCTGGCCGGTCTGGAGCACACTCGGTCGGGAGCTTCTTCGTGCAGTCACCGCCTTCTGGATTTGCTTGGTTTCTAAGAGTAACCTGCCGCCCGAGGCTAACGCGAAAGCGTTTCTTTACCAAGTAGAGATCTGGCAGGGGCGGGCATGGGAAATCCGCAATTCTTACCTGTGGCCACTAGCGTCTTTAAATTCGTTCATTTACCTAATCACCAAGTTTTTATTGAGTATTTACTTGTACCCAGTACTGTTCCTCAAACTGATTCTTTTCCTTTGATTGAAGCTAGGGTTAAATAGTTCCACCCCCCTAAAGGAGTTGGTGGGTTGTCTAATGTCCCTGGCTGGCCAAGGAGAAAGTTGCAATATTCGAGATAAAAGTTATACTGGAGCTGCCTATGAAGCAGTGATTATGACCCAGAGTGAAGTGCAGATGGTCAGGAAAGCTTTGGAAGAGGATGGAGACTGCTGGGAATGGAAGGCTCGATGGAATTCAGGGCTAAGGGTTAAAAGCCTTTCTAGGCAGAGACCTGTGTACAAAGCCATGGAGACAAGAAAAAATTTTTTCTGTTTCTGAAGATGTTAATAGTAAAGTAGGGCTGGAACTTGAGAACCAGTGGAAAGAAACAATATTAGGAAGGGTAGGCACTGTAGATCTCCTTAAGTGGATTTGATCTAGTAAGTACGCTTTTAGAAGGACTACTTAAGCATCGTTCTGGAGGGTGACTGGAGTGTTGCAAAAGTCCACGCACAGATGGTGAACTAAAGCTGTGGCTATTGAGTTGAAAGGGATGTCATCTAAAGAAAAAGATAATTTGGAAAATACATAGTGGAGCAAGGCATGGTGGTGCACACTTGTAATCCCAGCACTTGGTGGGGAGGCTGAGGCAGGAGGATGGCAAGTTTGAGCCCACCCCAGGCAACTTAGTGACCTAGTTCGACCCTGTCTCAAAATTTTTTTAAAAAAGGGCTGGTCAACATAGTTCATGTGAAGACTCAGTACAAAAAAAAAGAAAGAAAGAAAAGAAAAGAAGGAAGGAAGGAAGAAAGAAAGAAAGGCATTATTAGCGGGTGTGGGCTTTGAAAGAAAAGCAAGACATTCAGAGTGAGTCCCAGGGTTCTACCTAAAGTGAGGAGAAATGGTGGTGACACAAAGAGGAGCAGTGTTGAGGAAAAGATGAGTTTAATCTGGAACATGTTTCAGGTACCTGAGGGCAACTAGACATATAGGCCCTGAGCTCAGCAGATAGTCTGGGCTAGGGATAGATTTAAGAAGAATTGCTGTGAATCTGTGGGCATGGTTAACATACCCAAGAAAGAGGAAGGAGAGGATCAAGGGCTGAATCCAAAGATAGAGCTTCATTTAGGAGGCTGGTAGAGGAAAACTCAGAAGAGGTGGCCAGAGGTTAAGGAGGCTGGAGAGTAGCGTCACAAAAACCTAAGGAGTAGGGCTGGAGATTTAGCTCAGTGGTTTTGCCGCCTGCTGCGTAAGCACAAGGACCCGAGTTCGATCCCCAGTACAAAAAAAAAAAAACAAAAAAACCCCAAGGAGTAGAGTTTCAAAGAGGGAGTAGAGAATATGGAGAGAAGTAAGACAAGTACTGAAAAATGCCTGTTTTATTTGCTATCAGGTAACCTTTGGAACAACTGGCCAGAACAAGAGCTAGATCAGGGTGGGCTTAGAAAAATGAATGAGAGGTGAGGGAGTGGTGATGGGAAGCGTGGGACTGTTTCTGGAGATTTGTCTGTGAGAAAATAAATGAGACCAGGAAGTCATTTATGGAGAAGCACACAGGAAAGGAGGAAGAACAGCTCACAAGGAGAAAAGATCATTGAGACAAATGTTAAAGAAGATGCAAACAATACTTTTATGTGCTGCAGTACTTTTATTTTACATACTGGGGTCCTGTGTAAGTAATCTCAAGAATTAAGGATCTAGGGGCCTGGAATAGGCTCTGGCCCAGCATGTGAGGCCCTCATTCAATCCCCAACACTGCAATGGGTGAGAGCAGGGAGTCTCTATGAGGGATTCATTTCAGTCTAGAGACGGGAGATTCATCCCTTGTCAGAGGGAGAATCAAAGCATATATAGAGATATAGGCAAATATGAAGGGTTATTGGAAGGGGTGAACTTGATGCTTGATCATGCTAATTTTCTCGGGGAAGGTAGGAGGGGATCTCCAGGAATGAAGGCTTTAAAACAACTGCCCTGGAAGGCAGGCAAGGAAACGGAGCAGGGAAACACAGGAGGAACATGGAGCAGCACTGAAGGGCCAGGTGGGCTTGCAGCTCTTCATCTTTAGTTGGGATTTTTTTTGTTGGTTTTTGTCTTTTCAATTGTACAGTTTTCTCCAACTCAACGGCTTTGAGGGATGAGCAGAGAAAATAGTAAGGGTTGAAAGTATGATCCTGGAACAAGAAAATTGAGGTGCTGGCAAGGGAGGGATAGTGATGCGTTAGAGGGACAAGTGAGGCTGGGACTGGGTTGATGGTCTCGCTAAAAAATGAGAACAGGGGCCAGGGATTTAGCTCAGTGGTTCCACCACCTACTGCACAAGTGCAAGGACCTGAGTTCGATCCCTGGTACCAAAAAAAAAAAATAAAATGAGAACAGGCTGGAGATTTAGCTCAGTGGTTCCATCATCTGCGCTGCAAGTGCAAGGACCTGAGTTCAATCCCCAGTACCAAAGAAAAAAGAAAAAAAAAAAGAGAACAGAATAGTTTCTTTGTTAAAAATTGCAAACTACCTAGATATCCACCAATAATGGAATGGTTGGATGAATTACAGGATAAACATAAAAACTACACATATTTAATGAGGGAAATTAATGTATATTGACATGAAAAAATCTACAGGGGGGAAAAAGGTCTTTATGTAAATAAGTGGCAAAATATGTCTGGCATGGTGGTATACACTTATAATCCCAGCTCTCTGGAAGGCTGAGGCAGGAGGATCACAAGCTCCGGTCCAGCCCAGGCAACTTAGTGACTTAGGGAGATTCTGTCTCAAAATAAAAAATAAAAAGGGCAGGGGATGTAGCTGTGTGAAGGCCCTGGGCTCAATCCCTGGTATTACAAAAGAAAAAAAGAAAGAAAGAAAGAGAGAGAGAGAGAGAGGGAGGGAGGGAGGGAGGGAGGGAGGGAGGGAAAGGGAGGAAAGGAAAGAAAGGAAGGAGAGAGAGAAAGAAACAGAAAGAGAAAGAAAGAAAGAGAAAAGAAAAGATAGATCAAATCTAGAAGGATATTTACCACACTATTAAGTGCCACTACATACAAAGAAGGGAGTGAGATCAGGGAGGGATAAAGAAGATTTACAACAACATAAAGTTATCATTGAATTTATTTTATTTTAAAGATATCTATGTACACCAAGTAAATACACACTGGGGTTTGTGCAGTTTGGTTTGTTTTCCGCGCTGGCATGCAACATTTTGTCAGATGTGAGTGGGCAGGCCAGGTACCCCTTGTGGTGATCCTGGCTCTCTGTAAGGGACGTGATGTAGGGAACAGGAAGAAGAGGATGTAGTATGAAGCTTCTGGTGAAGGATTGTGTGTGTGTTGTTTTTTATTTCTGCAAGTGAATTATATTTCCCTTACATCTTGCTAAAGAGCAGGCTGCTTCTTCTGTGTCACCTCTCTCTTCATCTGCCCTACACTTTCACATTTTCTTATACATTGTTTTAAAGAATCATTTGGAGGGCCAGGGATTTAACTCAGTGGTTTCACCGCCTGCCTTGCAAGTGCAAGGACCCGAATTCAATCCCCGGTACAAAAAAAAAAAAAAATCAACCAAAGAATCATTTGGAACCAGGTGTGGTGGTGCACACCTATAATCCCAGTGCTTGGAAGGCTGAGGCAGGAGGATCACTGTGAGTTCAAGGCCAGTCTGAACTACATAATGAGACCCTGTCTCAAAAAAAAAATCATTTTTTGGCAAGATTACAGAAGCCCCCTGAATTCTGAATTCTTAGATGTCCTGTTGGCAAATACTAGCTTAAGTCTATGGGTGTGCTGGTGTCTTCCTTATTCGCCAATGGGTCTGAGCACGGTTCATCTGTACCACCCCAATCCTCTATCCTGTGAGTTGCCGATGTAGGACAGCCAGACTGGACCTCCTTCCTCAGAGCAGTGATTGTCAAACTATTCTGTAGAACCCTCAAGGTGTCTTTGGACTCTTCACAGGATCCTTAACTAATGAAGCATATTCCACCAGAAAAAGAAAATGCAAACTACCCAGGTCTACAATGTTATATTTTATATCAGGACTCTATATAATATTTATTTTAAGTATTTGAAAATTACTACTTTGGATTTATTCCACACCCCTCTGGTATTTTTCCCTTGTTTTTTCTCCTTAACTTCCAAAAAGGACTCAACAGGTAAAGAAAGTAGGGCTTTTTCACTGGGAGGCATCACAGGGTATGATGTCCAGCATTTGCCAGCTGCACTCAGACTGAGCTTGCTTTCCTAACTTAGAGGAAGTCAGGTGATGGATGAACTGCCCTGCTGTTGGAGGATCCAGGTCTTTTCATTCATTCATTCATTTATTTATTTATTTATTTATTTATTTATTTATTTTTTGAGACAGGGTCTCGCTATGTAGGCTGGCCCTGGACTCACTATGTAGTCCAGGCTGGCCTCGAACTTGCAACCCTCTTGCCTCAGTCTCCCAAGTGCTGGGATTACAAGTGTGCACCACCATACCCAGCCAGATCCAGGTCTTTTGTGCTAAATAAAACTGGTATCTGGGCACTGGAATTCTTGGTTTGAACTGGCTAGTGATCTTCATCAGTGCATTTACCTGGAAAACCACCTTAGCACCAAGTGGAAGGAAAGGGCCATGTGGAACTAAAGCAACAGTCCACTCAACTATAAGAGAGGGGGTGCAGGGCTGAGAATGGCTGGGGTCAAGCCCTTGGGCTCCACCACCCCTGGAAAATCTGCCCTGGCCCTTTCTTTAAAGTGCACTTAATACCAGATGGGGACATTATACAAGGAACTCTTTGTGGAGGTAAATGTATTCTGGGGAAAAGCCAGGCTCCAGCTTGAAAGAAAAGCATCTAGAGAGAGCTATTTTGCCAATGAACTGGAAGCCCCAAACCAAAAGGCAGAGAAAGGAAGAACATGAGACCCAATATGGGAGAAAGAAATCCAGCTCATTGCCTTCAACCTGAGGGTACTGTGACAAAAAGAAAAAAACAAACAAAAACACTTAGCAACTTCCAGCTAGTTCATTCTCTAGACCCAAGGAATCAATCATTCTGATGACACTTGCCTGTTACTATCACCACAGATGAGCAGCCATTTGACAGGTTATTGGGAGGGGTCTGTCTCATTTCTTCAAAATATCTTTAATCAACTCTGAGTTCTAGTCATGAGATCTAGGATACAGAGTATTAAAAGGGCCTTGGACGAGAAAAGGAAACCTCCCTTGAACAATCCATGTTTCTCAGTCCAGGGAAAAACAGGGAGAAGGAGGCAAAAGGCAGACTCTGTAGGACAGAGGTAAATACCTGGGATCTCTTGATTCGGGTGAGAGGTGTATGAAGAAAATTATTTGTATATAATTTAGAAGCCCTTCCATTTCACCCTCCTCTGTATTATTCACGAAAAAGGAGGAAGGAAGAATATATTTCTGTCTTCTGAGGGTGCTGACATTCTTCTACTTAAGGCTTTGTATGTACATGTGTATATGTGTGGATGTGTGTGAGAGACAGAAGGATCATAGCCCTCCAGTTCCCATTTCTTCTTTTATCATCTCTGTGACCTCTGCTCAGTGATTAACATCACTCAGTGTGAGAGAAGAGTGTATGAGAGAAAGCAGAAACATTTCCCCTCCTCTCTATTGTCCCAAATGAGGAGGGTAGACTATGCTTAGAAATTGCTAAATACATTATTAAATACTTAGAGAGCGGGACAGAGAGGAGAAACATAGCAGCAGCTTCTGATATATAGATACAGAGTACAAAGAAATACAGAGTAAGTAAGAGAAGACATCCAACAGTACAGTCCAACAACAGGGGCTGGGGAGGGAGTTAGTATCAGAGACCACAGGTTGGCAGCATGCTGAGAGAAGAGGCCTCAGTCCCTCTTAGAAACTGGGGAAGAAAGAAAAAAGAAGGTGTGAGGAACCAGCTGTAGCCCAGCTGCTTTGCAGGAACAGATGGCTTCTGTCCACACTTTGGTCCACACTGTGGTCCTGTTCCTTTGACACCAACAACCAGACTGTCCACCCCTGCTACACCATCCCTGACCCTCCTGTAGTCCTGAGGTGAGAGGGGTGGGTTAAGAGTTTGGGAGACAGCTGTTTCCACCTCCACTGACCCATATGAAGGGGAGTGCTGAAATTACAGCTACAGGGACAAAGTTAGACTTCATGGGCATTTCCTATAGCTTTTGTCTTATGTGTAGATAGGAAGATAGGTGATAGCTGTGGTAGTAAATCACATTGCCTTTACTGCAGATGTTTTAGTTCAGAAAATATCCACCCAAGATCATTTGAGGGTAGAGGTAGAGATGATCCCCCAAGGTCAGTGATGGCGAACCTTTTAGAGCTTTCAATGATACAAACAGCCTGCTGCAGCCTATAGGTTTGCTATCACTGGTCTATAACGTGTTTGTGGTAGATGGACAGTAGCTCTTGCTCACTTCTTTTGACGTATGGCAGTGACCCCTAGTGGCAGAAAGCAGCACTATGGTTACTACAATAGCCAAAGGGAAAGCTTTAGGGAACAAGAGAGGTCAGCGGTCAGAGTGTTCAGAACACACAGGGCAGCACAGATGTATCCCCCAGCAGGGGAAGGCAGGAGCTGAGTAAGTCTTTAGATGGTTAAAAAAATAAAAAGGGAACCAAAGAGGTGTGGGCAAGAAAGGGGGCCATAGGAGGCTGGTCAGGAGAAGTGCCCTGGGGCTACCTGAAAGTGCAAGTATGCAGCCATCGTCCTGTGGGAGATTAGCTGGCTGCTGTCTCTTGGTGGAGAGGGAAAATCTTGGCCTGGTCCTCAGCCTCATAGCCACATGGCAGGTCACTCCTGGGGGAAGACACACACCCAGATTAGCTCCACATAAATGAAAGTATTCCTGTCATGGTCACTGCTCTGATAGCATTTCTGTGAGATAAGGAAGGGCAGGGCCAGGGCCTACTCATGCTTTACAGGAATACAGGGAACTACAAGGTCAGACTAATGTAAATGACTTGCTCAAGATCACATTTCCAAAGGAGGAGAGAAACCACTTTATCTGGTGTGCATGGTCCATAACTGGAATGGGAAGAGGCCCCAGAGGGTGACTAGAGGAGGGGACAGTGTCCTACACAGAGACTAGGGAATGTCTGAACCTCCCTGACAACCCAGGGAAGGCAGGAAGATTCTCATTTCCTTTTCCCTCCCCCAAAGGCTCTAGAGAAGCTCTAAGCAGGGCAGAAGGAAATTTAATCATTCTTCTGGTCCCACCCAGAGAACCCCAGAGTAGTGGAGAATGGTGTACCTATTGTCGTTGATATCTGTGGCATTTCCTGAAGGGATCGCCATTGAGGCCATGGTGAGAAGAAAGCAGACTAGGTGTTAGGGCCTCTCCCTAGGTCCCTCCCACCCTAACCCCTGCATAAAAAAAAACAAGTAAGTCATAAAAGCTCTGCCCTCAACCACCCAAGGCCACAAGTTACTTTGTTTGAGAAAAAGCCTCCTACCCCTAACTAAGGAGAGGAGAAAGGGACAGGCAGGGAAGGATGGGTATGTATCTTTTTGGGGGGAGGGGTGCTAGGAATTGAACCTAGGGCTTGGTGCATGCTAGGCAATTACTCTGCCAGCGAGCTGTCTCTCCAGCCCAGGTAATTTTTTATTTGAAACTCTGACATATGAGGAAGGTTCCATTAAACTAGGGTCACTTACTTTTCCCCTACCTCTCTACTTGCCCTGGGGATCCCAAAGTCTGGATTAGCCATCTTGGTCACTCACCGTTGTCCATGTTGGCCTTCTGATATGAAGCCAAGGGGCCACCAGAAGATGAGGCTCCACTACTGGTACCAGAGTTAGCAAAGCTGGATGGGGTAGAAAAGAGAGATGCAGCCTCTAGCATCCATCCTCCACTATTCTGAAGACCACTAACTCACATCCACCTTAGCCATAGAGCCACACAGCCTTCCCCATCCTCAGAGAGCAGAGGACAACAAACATGATGGCAAAGGCAGGGAGGCAGAAGACCACCTTGTCACAGGTATGATATTAAGAAAGGATTAGAAATGAAGCTACTTAGAAAAATAACTGAGTCCCAACCAAGAACTGACCCAACCCTATGCCTTCTAGGCTCCAGAAAGCCTTGGGTTGGGACTCCAGCCCATGCCCATGTTCACTCACTACACATCTGAGGTGGAACTAGGTGCAGCCTGCAGGTACAAATTCTGGTAGTTCTGGAAAAGGCTGTTGGTGTAACTGATGCACTCGGGGCTCCGGGCGCCATAAGGGTTGGTGGGGGAGGATGCTGGGTAGTGGCCAGGCCGCACAGGCTTGGCTGTGGAAAAGAGGAAATGAACATAAGGAGGTTATTTGTTACTCTGAATTTCCCTGGTCCCAGAGGTCATTTCACAGAGCTTGAACTGAGTTGCTTACAAGATAATTCATCACTTTTTTTTTTTCTTGGCAGTACTTGGGATTGAACCCAGGACCTCACACAGGTTAGGCAAGAACTCTACCACACAGCTCTAGCCCCAGCCCTTTATGCTCTTATTTTTGGATGTGAGGGAAGGCTGGGCACCAGAAACAATACTCTAGTTGCCTGGCACTCAGGAATTTCCCAAGCTTGCTCCAGGAGGTAATCCCAACTTGCCTGCAACATCCACTCACCAATCTGGGCAGAATGGCCTCTCTTGCCCGAGCTCTTGTACCGCACAGCCTCCTTGATCCGGTCCACCTCCTGCTGGTACCGGCGCTTGTCCTTCATGGCACCTTCCTTGGCCTCCTTCAGTGCACCCTCCAGGGCCTTAACTCTCTCAGCCGTAGCCCTAAGTCGTTTTTCCAGTTTAGGAAGCTCACAACGCAGATCTGCATTGTCACGTACCAGCTGTGGGATGTCAAAAGGGAAGAGGCTGAAACAAATGCATGTGACCCAAGATAGAGTCACGGGTGGAGTGTGGGGGTGAGGGGTGGAGAGAAAATAAAGAAAAATCAAGAGTCGGAGAAGACAGACACCACACTTTCTATAAAAGATCTCGTTCCCTTCATGTGATGTGTTCTTCTATCCAGTTCTTTACTTCTCCCTATATCATTTTTCTAGGCTGCAAAACCTGCCATTATAGCCCAGAAGTCTTGACAGTGCCCAGTCCCCTTCTCCATCTAGCCTGGGTACTCCCCTTCACCATATCTCACAGCTTGTGCCAAACCAACAGCTCCAGGGCTCCCATGGGGATGAGGCGACTGCTTCCCCAAAGATGGCTGTGTGGGCATGCAAAGGGCAGGGCAGCGAGGGGAGGGCAGCAGTATGAAGCGTGGATGTGATACGGAGGAGAATGAGCGCAGGTAGATGCAACACAGAGCAGGAGCAGAAGCTGTAATTCAGAAGCCCCTGCATACATCCACATCCACACCGTGCCCTATAGGAAGGAAAGAAAATGTTTGAGGTCCTACAAACACTTGTGCTCATTACCCTCACATTGAAGGAGTTCCCGGGCTGTCTCTTCATTTAAATTAAGCTAGAGTGTGAAAGCAACCACCTCACAGCCGGAAAAGACTCCCTGACCCCTCCCCATAATGACTGAGGGCACCACAAACTGCAAAAGGAGCAGGGCCTTGGGGATATCAGGCACACTTGGCACAGCAGGGAACACTGAGGTATGAGGCAGAGCTAGTGTCTTCTGTGCGACTTTAATTTGGGTGATTTATGGGTTATAATCAATGTTTTGCTGTGAGAATAGTTTAACTTATAGTTGCAGCCCTGGCTATTAAGATTCTGTTAGCTGAGACGTTTTCATATCTCTCCTTTTCCTTTCTGTCTCTCGGGTAGGACATTATTGTGAGTCCTCTATCCTTTGGGGGAGCAGTTTTTGGTCTTTGGGACTTACAGCAGAGGCAGAAGCTGCGGCTTCGATGAGGGAAAAAGATGAACCTCTGTTTTGTTTATTTGTTATTTTTAAAGCAATTTAATATGCATTTGGGCAGAGAGGTAGAGTGAACACACAGGAATGAAAACAGAATGGCGGAACTATTACAAAATTTCCTAGCAGTCTTTCAACTTTTTTGTAATGTTACAATTTTCTAGTAAAGGAAGGAAAGAAAGATGGTAATAAAGCCCTCTACAGGCCCAAATAAAATCAGTAAACTCGGAAGATTACCACGGGGCTTCAGGTTTGAGAATTTTTCATTACAAAAAAGATGTAATGGGGCTAGGGATTTAGCTCAGTGGTTCCGCTGCCTGTCTCACAAGCTCAAGGTCCCAAACAAACAAACAAAGATGTAATGAATATTTACTATATGGGCTGGGCATCTCATTGGGAGTAAAAGAACATAAAGTTCTAGGTTAATGAGAATGTGAGTTTACCTGGAATTTTAAGGTAACCTTGAGAAGAAAGGAATGAGGTCTGGGTTTTGTTATTTTTTTCCTCTCCCCCAACAGAAGATTGAACCCAGAGCCTAGGCAGCACTCTACCACTGAGCTACATCCTAGACCCCAAAAGATTTAGGGTTTCTTTTATGAATCAGTTAAAAGAACCAGCTGAGAGACAGACTCAAAGCTCAACTCTTTGGGACTAGTGTGGGTGCTCCTGCTCTGCTCACAGCAAACATTTCCTCTCCTGACTCCTGGATTGCCCTTCCACCTCCCTGGGCCATACCTTTGAAGCCCAGCCATCCAACTAAGGAACCACAGCAGCAGGGAGGGGTACAGACAGGCAGGAACTTTAATAAGCAGGCACTCTAACTGGGCCCAACCAGGGGCTGGTTGGGCTATCTAGAGGACATCATTTAATGTCCTGGATTCCTTCCCCAGACCAAGCAGATAGAGCTGTCTCCATGAGAGCAAGCTTCATTCCCTTACTTTTCTTGTCTCCCTGCTTTCTCTCTGGCTAAAGTCTGATATATATATATATA